AACAGCAATTGCAGAGGACAAGTACTGAGTGGAGCGCCCAACGGTTTAATTACAGCATGTAGTGCCTAGTTCTTTAACTGTTGTACGGATTTATTACTATTACGTTATGTCGCGCCTAATGCGTAAACTACGGCACCGATTTATGACAATTACGGTATGTAGTGCCTATTGCGTTTACTACGGTAGGAATTTATGATTATTACGGTATGTCGCGCTTAATGCATTAACTACGGTAACGATTCACGACTAGTGTAAGTAAATTTCAGTTATAAAAATACATGCATTGAGCAAGTACGGTAAACGGCTCAAGGTACTCAGATTTTACATATACCATTTAACTCCGGTACTGACTGTACGCATTCTAACTGTAATGTTAACATTAATTTTCTCAATACAATAATTTCGGTAGATACGGTAAGTGGAACTAGAGAGTGATATAAATATGTGTAACTACGGAGACAGACGATATAGTTTTAGCTGGTGTATTACTACTTTGTACCATCCTGAATTATTTGGGTGACTACGGTAAATGTATTTCGACGGTGATGTTGCTATTGGCAACGTGCAATTTCGACATATACGGAGTTAAGCCATGACCTAGAATATATACTCTCCAAAAAAAGAAACGCATATAGGAATTTCAACTGTATTTTTATGTTTATTTTGAAACATCTTGTAGGCGTTGTGAGTCAATGAAATATAGCGAAATTGCACACTGGGAATGCAGACTTACCACCGTGACCACCGTGGGCATCCTGAACTGCACGGCATCGCCTCGGTGTTATTCGCGTATAAACTGTTCTGTACGGTATACATTGCACGGGGAACGGAGCTTTACTATCATTATTCAAATACTTTTCATGTTGGTGAAATACAATGTTTGGCTGTTGCAACCTATTCTGTGAGCACGTATCTGCAGGACATCTACTCGAATATTATTTGATCGGCGGACTATCGTAAAATACGGAATAACTGATCTGCCTACAAATTCCTCATAGCTCGACATAATCGTGTAAACTCTCGGAACTGTTTTTGTGACTAAGCTATCTAGTAATCTAGGCTACGAGACGAGAATCTAACCTGTATGTACAGATCTAACACGCAAATGAATAAAACTAAACAAACACTGGGGATATAGACATAGAACAGAAGCATTCGTTTGTACATGAAAAACATAAACTTGAGGAGCCCACGACGCAATGTGCATAAATAAATATCCCTGTATATATCGAGAACTAGCATTTACAATGGTAGGTATTTCTAAAAGTGCTTCAATATCGTAGGAATGTTTCAAACATTTTCTAGACAATAATTACAAAGAAATAACAAGTTAGACATAAACAAGAATAAAGTTAAAATGTTTCTTACCTTGAAACAAGAAAGGAGAGAGCTGTGAGTTCCTCGGTTTATTCAAGCAAGTGTGCCTGAGATGGTAGAACCCAGGATTTTATAACCCACAGTTCCACGAGTTTGTCATTATCAAGTTTCTATGCAGTTGAAGTTTCCATATGCGTTATCTACCCTATGCTGACAAAGTATACTACACGAGGTAGGTGGTAAGAAGATGATTACCTAACAAGGTTTGATTTTGTTTATGATGTAGCCACAGTCAGCGTGGCATTTACGACAGGACAAAGAGGATGGCATGATGGTAATCTCGATCTTGTTCAACAAAAGTTCATTTTCAATTACGGCTTAGTTGGTGGTAGACATGCTCCTGCTGGGATGGGACTACTTAACTGTGCTTGACCAAGGGATGTACCCGAGAAGAAAGGCCGGAGTTGACACAGCCCACTAACTTCATCTTTGATTAATTAGTTTAAGGTTGGCGTGTACGCGTTTGCTAATTGCCTACTGCTGCGTGAACATGCGGGCTATAAACAAGACAGACTATGCACATCGAATTGCACCTATACTGATTTCCTTTGTGAACAAAAATTTGCGCAAAATATAAAAAGTATAAGGGTATATATGCACTGTAATACATTCATAAGGCTTGATTCCTGTGTGAATCCTCATGTGTATCTGCACATGGTGTGATTGTGTAAACGTTTTCTCACACACAATGCACAGATAAGGTTTGGTTCCACTGTGAATCCTCATGTGTTTTTGAAGAGTACCTGATAGTGTAAATTCTTTCCCACATTTAACACATTCAAACGGCTTAATTCGAATGTTAATCCTTATGTGTTTCTGAATATGTAAGCGTTATCTCAAACACAATGCACTGATGAGGTTTCATTCCACTGTGAACCCGTGAAGATCCGGGTTAGAATTTATCTCCAGTAACCCATTTTTGTCGTAAGAGGCGACTAACGGGATCGGGTGGTTCGGTTCGCCGACTTGGTTGACACATGTCATCGGTTCCCATTTACGTAGATCGATGCTCATGCTGTTGATCACTGGATTCTCTGGTCCAGACTCGATTATATACAGACCGCTACTATGTAGCTGGAATATTGCTGAGTGTGGTGTAAAACTAAACTCACTCACTCTCTCGCTCACTCACTCACTCATTCCACTGAGAATCTTCATGTGTCTCTGTAAATAAGTTGTTTGTGCAATGTTTTCCCACACGCGATATAATGATATGGTTTGAAATGGTAAGTTTGCATTTGCGTTCATCATTGAAGGAGTAAAAGTTCGAAAAGTTTAAATATGTTCTGCAGCCAATTCTGACCATTTGCAGCTAGAGAGAACTCCTCAAGATTCCCATGTGGCATACTTGACATATTAGTGTTGACATGTCAAATTGTTGTTGTTGATGTCAACATAATTGCAGGTGTCGTCGAAGGATGACAGTCGGAGACACGAGGATAGGTGGTGATTGTGAGTGATGGACTGAAACAGGACTGAGCAGGGTGGTCAGCAAGGACCTTGGCTCTTGGCCTCTCAGCTTCTGTCTGTAGTTACTTGGTGTTGTGCCGGAAATCGAGGATTTCCTCTACGATTTTTAATTACATTTACATGAAATAAGCTTTTTAAGATTTATGTTTGGTCTAGGAAACTATAATACCTAGAATTAGTTGTTGGGGAATTAGCTTAGGACCGCAACACCTTCAAATAACCAAGAGAAGCATCTATTAGTGGCCAGTCTTTATTCGGTGCATTTCATGAGTGACGATTAGTGCATAAACCTTATCAAGTAAACGTGGCAATCAAGACGAGCGTTATCGACACTAACGGATTATAGACTTGGGACGGACCATGCCTGTAGTCTTAAAGCTTAACACAGAATGCTAATTATCCTCCAACCTGGAAAACGAAGGTCAACACTAACTAAGACAGCCTTTATTATTCTCACTATTGAGTATAATATACAACATATGCTGTTCAGTACTATTTTATAAAGTCATAATTATTCATATAAGATTGAGGAAACTGTGACGCATTTTAGACTGAGTTTGGTTTTACGCCGCTTTTAGCTATATTCCAGCAACACCACGGCGCGGGACACCAGTAACGGGCGTCACACATTGTGTCCATGTGGGGAATCGAACCAGGGGCTTCGGCGTGACGAGCCAGTGCTTTAACCATTAGACTACCCCACCGCCTCGACGCATTTTAGAACTATGACATAACCAAGATAAGTATATAATGATCAGTGACAATTAAAGGTTGGTTAACAAAGGACTATCCTTCTTTAGAAGATATCCGCCAACATTTTCTAAACATAACAACGTTAGACGTATCTAGATTAACTTATAAATCCCATGTTTTAGTATAACGTTCCAAAATATTCAACTGAGTTTGGAGACCAACTACAGATTCTGATAAAAGAACTACGTTGCCAGCAAATAAAAGCATAAAAGGTTCAAAATGATCTGGAAACATGTGGGAGCCATGCTTACCCACTGCGCTAATGTCGTAGTACAATTCATCGATAAAGAGTGAAAACAGAATTGGACTCACAATGCATCCTTGTCTTAAGCAAATGGGTCATTCGAAAAAAATCGGTCTATCAATACCCTATCATCACCCCAACTACACAAGCTTTGACGTTGGTACACAATACTTTTAAAATCGAATACATTCTCCCTTTCAGGCCAGCACTACGTAAAGAGTACCACTATTTAGAGCGACTGACAGAATAAAATTAAAATGAAATAAAAATCATCATTACACTACAGCCATGTTGTCTGACAAAAGAATATTCACCTTGCTCATCTCTAAACACTTTACCATCACATTAAATAACTGAAATGGATAACAAATGTCTATCAATATTAGGGACATCCTCCTCGTCATCGAATATGTTGGTGACGTTTCTATTATCAACAGATATCACTTGGGGGTTGTTACTCTCACCAGTTCGAGCGTTCATGTCGCCACACAGTACTATTTGAGAATCTCTAAACTAAGACAAATAAAAACTCACCAACATTATCAAGACTACATTTTTGTGTGAGTCTTATCATTGTGGGATGAACACGCTGGTGGAATATATGTACATATCAGTGTGCAAATATCGACTTTATGAATTTGATAAATATAAAATTGCCAAAATCAGATTTGCTGAGATATTGATCAACACATATCCAGACACCACCAGAGAGTCGACCAAACTCGGACAATTTTACTGCTGGGCTGTAAAAGATGTCATAGTCATGTAACCAATCAACATCGGGAATATTGTCAACAATTTTTTCTACAAGACATACAATTTTGAAATGGCGTAAATATTTAAAAAGTAATTGTCATAGATTTTGGATTTTATACCATTCTTATCCTTAAAAGAAAAAAAATGTCGATCACAACACTGATATTCAGAATCATCACACATGATTCCACTTTGAATCCTTATGTGTTTCTGCAGGGCACCTCCAGGTGTACATCCTTTCCCATGCCCAACACAGCGAAAAGTCTTTACTGCTTCATTCCACACATTCAACACGTACTTAAGGCTTGATTCCTGTTTGAATCCTCGCGTGTGCCTGCAGAAGAACTGATTGCGTAAATCTTTCCCTCACATTCAACATATTAAAAAGGCTTGATTTCACTGTGAATTTCCCCCAGATTCAACACAATCATATGACTTGATTCCACTGTGAATCCTCATGTGTTCCTGCAGGCAACCTGATTGTGTTAATGTTTTCTCACGCACACAACAATGATGAGGCTTAATTCTTATGTGATTCTTCATGTGAATGTGCAGCTGACATGGCTTTGTAAACTTGTTCACACATTCAACTCATTCATTAGGCTTGATACATGTGTGAATTTTCATGTGTTTCCGCAGTCTACCTGATTCTGTAATTTTCTTTCAGGAAATCGACACATTCATATGCCTTGCTTCCTATGTGAATCCTCGTGTGTTTTTCCAAGTTACCTGATACTGCGAATTTTTTCCTACATTCAACACATTCTTAAGGCTTGATTCCTGTGTGAATTCTCATGTGTCTCTTCAGATGAGCTGATTGTCTAAATGTTTGCTCACACACAATGCACTGATGAGGCTTGATTCCACTGTGAATCCTCATGTGTTGCTGCAGATTACTTGACCGTGCAAATATTTTCTCACACACGATGCACTGATGAGGCTTGATTCCACTGTGAATCTTCATGTGTACCTTCAGCTGATATAAGTTTGTAAATTTATTCCCACATTCAAGACATGCATAAGGCTTGATTCCTGTATGAACCCTCATGTGTGCCTGCAGATGAACTGATTGTGCAAATGTTTTCTCACACATAAGGCACTGATGAGGCTTGATTCCACTGTGAATCTCCATGTGATGCTTAAGGTCATCTGATTGTGTAAATGTTTTCTCACACAATATGCATTGATGAGGTTTGATTCCTTCGTGATTTCTCATGTGTTTGCGGAGGCCACCTAAACGTGTAAATTTCCCCCCACATTCAACACATTCATAAGGCTTGATTTCACTATCTTTATGTGTTTCGTGAATCTTCATGTGTTTCCGCAGGTTACCTGACTGTGAAAATTTCTTCCCGCATTCAGCACATTCATGTGGTTTTATTCCTGTGTGAATCGTCATGTGATTCTGCAAGTTACCTGATTGTGTAAATGTTTTCTCACACACAATGCAGCGATGAGGCTTGATTCCACTGTGAACCCTCATGTGATTCTGCAGGCTACCTGATCGTGTAAATGTTTTCTCACACACAATGCAGCGATGAGGCTTGATTCTACTGTGAATCTTCATGTGACTCTGCATGTTACCTGATTGTGTAAATGTTTTCTCACACACAATGCAGCGATGAGGCTTGATTCCACTGTGAATCTTCATGTGACTCTGCATGTTACCTGATTGTGTAAATGTTTTCTCACACACAATGCAGCGATGAGGCTTGATTCCACTGTGAACCCTCATGTGACTCTGCATGTTACCTGATTGTGTAAATGTTTTCTCACACACAATACAGCGATGAGGCTTGATTCCACTGTGAATCTTCATGTGACTCTGCATGTTACCTGATTGTGTAAATGTTTTCTCAAACATACTGCACTGATGAGGCTTGATTCTACTGTAAATCCTCATGTGATTCTAAAAGTCCCTGATTTTGAATTTTCTCCACATTCAACACTTCAACACTTGAATCCTGGTGTGTGTCAGTAGATTATCTGATTGTGAAAATATTTCTCCTCATGTTTCCCAAGTTTAGCTGACCTGTTTTCCGACATTCAACATGATCATAAGGCTCCACTATGACAGAGAATGTGCCTTTTCAAGTCATCCGATTTAGAAAATGTTTTCCTGTACTCACTACATTTATGAGACTGCTTTGTTGAACGACTTTCAAGATAAATAAAATATCTTTCTTGAGATCTCCTGTTTCCAGCAAACCCCTTTAACAGATTTCAGTGGTTTCAGTGACAGAAAGAATTCTGTGGATTGCTTTAAACTTCCATCATTAATCTGCTGATGCTAGGGCGTTAACTGAAAACATAAGAAGCACTCTTATAACATCAAGGGTAGGGACCATACACAATATGATGGTATGACACCAGCATGATAATATAACATACCTGATACCGTAAAAAATGTCTTCCCATACACAACACACCAATGGTGGAATGTATAATTATCCTCTCTATAGCCTCACAATGAATTGTATTCAGCTGATTAATATCCATACTTTTACTGTTGTTACATTTTTAGGGCTATGGCAAGTTCATCATCCTCGCAAAACAAGAAGCAAATAGATATCTTGTAAAACTCTGTACAGGTGATCTACATCATTGTGTAACATTGGTTAAAAGCAATGAATATATTCCATTAATATTTCATTTAGCCCCAATTTGGTCATAAGCACATCCTTAGCTAAAAAACACTGCATTGAAAACTTTCAAAAAAATACGCGAAAAGAATCAGATCTATCTTTGATAGATTTAACTGCATTCTGCATATTCAAAATAAATGCCTTTCGATATAAATATCATTTAGATGACAGATGCCATAAGGAGTGAAACACCCTATCATTAAACACCTGGAGAGCCTTTACATGGGGAGACAAGTTTTACACATATGTTTTCCAACATGTATCGTTGTCTTTGTAGCCAAATATCGGGTAATATAAATATATTAACAGGTAGGGAAAACTAATACATACAAGTAGTAGATTATGGATAGGTTTAGAGCCTCCCAGCCACCCGCTAGACTTTCTGGTCACGTGATCTAAGACGTACTACCGGGAATCTGGAAGACTTCCTATCACCTTGACCTATTTCGGGGAGGGTGGGGGAATTCCTTCATAACTCATTATAATGCGATTTATACATGGCGTAAAAGACGCAACCCCTACATTAAGCCTAAACAAAGTGTAGTAAATGAATTTCCTACAGGGACCATCGAATGTCCCTGGAAGGTGCAGTGGTCAAAACAAAATGCACCTGTTCATCTTGTTTTCGTGTCTACAGTCACTGTGGTGGTTTTTCACCTTCATAGAATGTGTTTAAAAGATATAGGTTTGACAAATATCTACTGTGGTGTTGTTTATAAATGAAACTGTAAATTCATATTTTCCGAAAACCAATTTAATCTATTTTTCACCCTCCCACGAGTTATTCCTCATTTGCTTTCTGTCTACATGTGCTAAATCTGTTGGTGGTAGTTTATTAAAATATTAGATCGCTAATGCTATCTTAAATTGGACCCTTCATTAAGCGAAAACAAAACATAGTAAATAAGGAAATTGTACTACGTAAATCGTATTCAGAACCACAACTCAGAGGAACTTCCAAGAAGGAAAAGCATCTGGTTTTCCCCACAAATCATTACCATCCGTTACTGTTGGTGGCCACATTGAATTACATTTTAGAACAGCAGCCCATATCTACCAGTAATTATTCAATCAAAAGGAAATGGCATCTCTCTTGTATCCGAGAAGATGTCCTCTATCATACAAAAGTACGATGGAATATTTCCCAATAATACTATGTTGTCAATTGCTCCTAGGAGTCGGGCGATGGTGTCACCATGCACAGATTTCCACAGGACCCCGCAGGTCGTGCTAAATGGGTTATGTTTGTGAGTGCGAAGCGAGCGTTGTGGAAGCCTGAAACGATATCTTACTTGTGTTCAGATCGCTTCACGGAAGTTAAAGAATCAAAAGTACTAACTAGTTGTAGTAAAATATGTATACTATATAATTGATGACCATAAAGATTTTCCATGACACAACTTGTAACATAACGGTTTCTTCCTCGGAAGTGAGGTTGTGGTCGAAGCTACAATAATATTGTAAGTAGTATTATGTTGACACCCACCTCGCTGCCACGAGAGAAATTGTTATAAGCTATGTCATGCAAAATCCTATTGGCCATCAATCAAATACATATTTTACTACCAGTAGAAAGTAGTTTTGATTTTGTAACTCGGTGAAAACAAACCTAAATAGCATTTATCCTCAGACTAGCGTATGTTCGCGGCGCCCTCGCCATGTTTGAAAATCGTAAAGTGACGGGCTAAAGTCTGTTAGAATTAATGAGATTATGGTTTGTTTTCATCAAGTTAGAAAATCAAAACAACTTTCTACTCGTAGTTAAAAATGTATTTGAATCATAATCAAAAGGATTTTGCATGACACAACTTATAACATAACGATTTCTTCCACGGAAGCGAGGTGGGGGTCGAAGTGACAATACTGCGCGATAAATTTCTTGCTACATTCACATGATTAACGTCCACTCACCAGTATGTAGATACTAGTCAATGTGTGTCTTTATATTTGGCCTTTTATCCTAATTAGTTTATTATCATACTTGTATGCATTTTGAAACTAAATAAAATGCAGCCGATCTGCTGATGCTTATAGTGAATTTATAACAGAACTGTAATATCTAGACATTTTATAGTTTTCCAATGTGAATCGTAATTCGCACACACACCCTAGTGTATGTTGTCTGTCTCATTAAACTTCAAGGCGAAAACAATGATTCTGTTGAATGCTACGACAAATGAATAAAAACGAAATGCAAATATTAAAATTAAAACAGATTAAAGTTATAGGAACAATGTCAGGCTATTTATTACCTTGTTCGAGGAATGTATCCATCAATATCCACAAAAACTAGTGATATGACATTCATCTGCAGCTGTTCCAAGTGATGTGTCTTTTAACAGTTTACTATACGAAAAAGTGATAAATCTTTTCAGGTATTTCACATTGGTGTATCGTTTCATTGGTGACCCAAGATAGCACACCTGGCAACTGATTGCATAATTAAAAACTTTAAAAACAGTAATTTAGTTAGCCAATAATGGGCAATCAATCAATGTATTGCCGGTTAATCCTTTGTTAGAAGGACGTTGTTTTTACGCAGACACCGACACGACAGAGTGTTTTCAGTATAGATTAGTAAATGTACATACATAAACACTACCTTTTGACAAATCCGCTGTGTAAAATATAAGTAATTAATCAATCAACGTGTTATCGATTAATCCTTAGATCGATGTTTATAATGTTGAATATTTACTCCAGACACAAGAAATGCCAAATGGGAACCTTTATTGGGTAATCTAAGTGTGTTACCACTAATTATACCTGTTATAAATTCATTAACTGACCATCAAGTGAATGATGACAAATAACATGTGTAGGTTTATACCGTGACCTATAAACGGGTTACAACAAGGGATTATTAATTGCTGTATTGCATGTGAAAACTTATGGGTCGACACTGTTTTGAGAATACAAACAGATTTTTACATAACATGATTAAATATCGAGGTAAAAAAACACAGAAATAGGATCAATTTGGATCAGTCATTATACAAATAAGGCCAAACGACACCAATCGATTTTGACAGAATCGTCTATGAAAACAAGTTGTAACTCGGAAACTAGGCAAAGCAGGAGACAAAATTAAATGACAGTAGATTGTGAGAACATATAGCTTTCATTTTCCACAACAGTTGTCACGATTTCAGGTTTATACAAACCTGTAAACAAGATAATTTATCCCCTGAAATGTAGATGAATTCTGCATCGGCCCTCATAGCTATTCCTCATATGACGTCACAGAGACGCCCCACTCTGATTGGTTGAAATTTCGTTCGCGGGTGAGAATTGTGCACTGTTGTCAAAAAGGTCGATTTAAGTTAATTAAAGACCGAAGTGAGTAGTTTTAATGACGGGGTTTCATTTATAGCGATGCCAGTTAGTGATTTATGTATTTGTACCCCTAGAGTATATGTGATCTTTAGTCACGACGTTAAACACCATTTCACCGCATCTCACCTATTTCTATAGCACTTATGATGTTCAAATAAGTTTACAATATATCTTTCAATCTACGAATTTTTGAATTTAAAACTCTTACCTTCACACAAAGAATATGTCTATCCAATATGACAAAACCAAACTCATAAATCACGTTGGAAGGGGCAAGTTGTTGGAGAGATGGAGAGTGGGGCGAGGACATTGAGCGTGCTACACAGGTAATGTATATTCAAACCCATACAACAGCCAGGGACACGCTCGTATTGACACAAATGTTCCCTTTCTGTTTACGCTCCTCCATGACCCACATCTGCGACATGGTGCGAGTGTCTCAAAAGCTCCTTTCTTCGTAAACACACGACACGTCGTTGCCAGGGGGCGCTTTGCCTTGGAGTAGGGGTTGCCTCCCATGTGCTTAGACTGACAACTAGTTTCTCAAATGAACATATTTTACAGAAACAAAACAGTTCATAATAATAAAAGGAGCCCG